CAATCCTTGGAGTCCATTTCAATTGCTCTAATATCCTTGATTTTTAACACRTTTTACTTCACAATTTGAGTGAACTAATCACATACACTACAAGTTAAATGGGTTCAAACTGACATAATTTGATGCTACAGGCTAAGACACAAATCTGTAAGGGGAAAAAAACAACACCACACAAAACTAACATTAACAGATGATCCAAAACTATATTGCTTTAAAGCAGCAAAATCTTAGGTATGTTTCAAAGTCAGTTTCCAAGTTATCAAGGTACGTTTTCCTTACTACAATTACTATGCATCTAAATCAGATTTGTAGCTTTGAGAAAGACCTCAACTTCACCTTCCTTTTGAACATGTTTCAAAGCCTTCTACTGCAGATCTATCAAAAACAGGCTTTCCCATGCAAACCTACTATCATGTAAACCTTTTATGTATTTGTAACTTGAATTTTCTAACAAAAATTTACCAACTATTGAAAACTGCCCAGTCTTACAAAAATCTAACCCAGTAACATTCATTTGATTATAGGTTATGGACAGAAAGGTTTCAGACATAGTGAGAAGGAAAAGAAATAGGGTAACTTTGCTGATGGGCCGAATTATTTTTATGCTCCTTTCTTAAAAAACAGAAATATAAAGACAGCCAAATAACCTGCCTGCAACAACACTAATCCTTCATATACATACTCCCATTTCAGCAGTGAATACAGGAATATAGAAAAAGCAAGAGCCCACAGAAACAGATGTGCTGAAATAGCTGTTATTCTTACTCTAAATTAACATTTTTCCCACCAAATACTCCTACAAATATCCAAACTCTGCTCATGTAAATAACACAGCCACTGTAATCACAGCATTTGTGCTGGTTCAGCTTCTTATGTCCAACAAGATGTCTCTTGCAAGCAACCATATGTCCTAAAAATAAACCATTGCATTAAATAAACCAGTTTAGGACTTAGCAAGACCTGGTATTAAATATTTAGACCAGTTAAGGAGGAATATCGCTCCTAAGAACTGAGAGTAAAATGAAAAGTCAAATATACTGCATTTTAAACTAAGACTACAAGAACATAATGTAGGTACCTTAGGTTATATCCTTTAAATGGAGATCTATCTTCAAGGAGAGGACATTGCATAATACTCCTATTAAATAAATAACTTTCTGGCTAAATATTCTCAAGCTATGCTAGTATCAATTCTCAGCTTTCTTTCTACAGAAGAAAAAAATGATTTCATCTGTAAGTTTGTATTCCAAGTATTTAAAAAACAGTTTTTGCTTTCGACCTTCCTCAAATGGGTCAGATCTTTGGAGGATCACCTTGTTTTTCAAGCTGACCAGAGTTATCCCTTACTTTATCAGGCAATGTTTATCACAACAGGCACACAAATCCTTACACTTTCCTCAACATAAAGAGAAAACAACTGGAGAACAAATTATGTATGTTTGAGGAAACACATCTTCAGCGCCAGGCACAAAGACCAAAACATTCTCAACAGAAGTGGGGACCATCTCAGAAAGAAATGGCTCATCTCAAAAAGTAGTTATCTTAACACACTTGAGGCAAAAGGCTAGACCTCGGTCTTCAAGATAGGGAGCAGCAAACTAGGGTCCCCTGAATTCACAGTGTTTCCTAGGATGGTACTGTAATTAACAGGCTTGTTAGGCAACTCTGAATTCTGTAATTCTTTCAGACTATAATCTGAAACACAAAAGGTACTTACAAAATTCAGAACACACTGCTGTACTAGAAAATAAATTACAGGAAAAAAAATCTTAAATGTATCTACTGACTTAATGTATCTAATATTCTTCCACAGCTGAACCAAACTGAGTGCTTTTCCTTCTGATGATGTCAAATACACAAAGTTGAAGTCTATCCATCTACATAACAGAAGACCCAAGCCAACCTTCACAGCTGAATTTAATAAGCCTTAGTTTGACCTAGACTCAAAAGCTGCTTAGTGCCTACAAGCAACCCCTGCGGTGCCACAGGATTTAACCAGCTAGGCAATTTGGTATCATCACCTAGGATCACTTCATCACTATCCAATTTTCTAAACCAAAACAAACAGCTCACAGTGCACAATTTCATGAATCCAAGGGCATTTTCTCTCACACTGTTTTAAGATAAACAAAAAAACACATATTTTAAAATACATTTCCTTTAATGCAATGAAAGGGATCTCTACTGCCTTACAAAAAGCGTACTTTTTAACCCATACTCAAGAAATCACATATTTTTATTAACGCTTTCTCCTAATTCAAAACACTCCTCCAGGCAACTTGTTTAGTGAAACTGACTGCAACTTAGTATGTTTTCCTCAGTGAGGATAACATTATTTTACTAATTTATTTGGTTCAGGAAGCAGAAATGCAGTTCTAGTGATGAATTTCACTGACACTTTCTCTTAGTCAAGTGCAACATCTCAGGCTAGATGAGGATTCTGAATTCTAATAAACAAGAAAAGACATCTTTTGAGGACATATTGTTAAACGCACCTTCAATTTAATGAACATAAGAAAAGCTTCTAATTTTTTTCCAATCACAAATGAGATGTCAACAGTGTTTTAAAATAGGTGCTTCTTTGTGCACATGCTCACCCTGAAACGGAGTCATTCTTGCACACAAATTTTAGGTGAGACAAAAAGAATGTTACTCAAACCTTCAAATTCAAACTCAGCAATAAATGCTTTGTCTGAAGATTTTTAACTTCATCCACAAAGATACAAACTTTTAATGAACTCATCAGACAAATTCTATACAGGTGGCCTCAACAGAATAGCCCAGATTGAGCACTTAACAGAGAATGGCCAAGGGCTGAACACTAAATGGAGAACAAAGTCACCTCTTAACTTCTAGTGATCGCTCCCAATTCAAGGCCAAGGCACACAACCGAGGGCTATAGAAAAGCATGCATTTAATGCTGCTGCTTGATCTTAAATCAGCAAACAAAGCTCAAACGACTGATATCTTTTAACTTCTTTATTGAAGGGAGGGGGAAGATAGAAAAGCGGAGAGGGAACAATTCAGCTCAAATAGCTAAGTATTGGTTACCAGTATGAAGGCTTTTAAAAGATGAAATTAGGGAACAGAGGAACACAAAGATTTTCAGCACCGAAGCAAGGTGCTGCAAGAAGGACTATCGCAACTTTTCTACTACTAAAGGAACTCAGAAGTGAGACAGATGCATTGACCTCTGCAGAAACATCTCTGAATAGGCACATTTAAAGGTATAAGCAAGCTTCCTCCTCATTTAAAACCTCTATTCCAAACACGCACATTTTTTGGTATTGAAAGTGTTCACAAGAACTTGTTTCATTTACTGCWGTAAGCCATAACCTTGAAGTATCTCTCTTTTAAGCAACTTCCTATGCAGTGTTTTCAAACCCATGCCTGCTAAAAACATTTCTTTCAAGTATTACCCTCCATGTTCTTCCTATGGCAACTTCCTTAGACTTCAGATTTTCTAACAGGTAACTACGTTTAGGAAGAAAAAAAAATTAATTTTAAATCCATTAAATCCATGGTCCATGTCCACTTAAGAAATGAACTGTTACAACCATATCTATCTACACAGGGCATCTCCCTGTTAAAAATATCTTGCAATGCACATAAACACAAACACAAGAGCAGCCAAAATCTACCACAAATCTTGCATACGATTAATCTCGACGTTTACACAACATTTTTATCTCAATATGAGAGAAATCCAAGCTATTTTCCAAGGTTAACCAAAATGCAAAAGACAAAAGCCCTTCTGCTACCTGGCAGCAAAACGCAGAAGCCTCGAGGACAGAAAGCAACAATTAGCAGCAATTAGGAGAATTCCAAGGAAGGATTTTCCTGCGGGTGCAGGAGGATGTCCCTGCATGTCACAGTCCTGCTCCTCAACACTGCCTCCTTCCTACATTTGCTTCCTTGCGATAAATTACGGGGAGGAAAAACATCCTTCCGCGACACCTTTTCACGCGCTATTCAACAACAACGTCGCAGCGCGAACAAATCGGCAAGAATCACAGGAAAAAGACGCCGAAAAGAGCCAAAAGGCTCCAAAAAGAGCTCTTTTGGGCTCGGCCAGAAGCGAGGGGCAGAGAGCCCGTGAAACCGGGGCACGTTGGAGCAGCTGGCGGGGCGGCCCCTGCCCGGTACGAGGCGCCGCGCTCGGGGGCTGGAGCCCGGCAAGGCTTCTCGCTGCCGAGGATTAGGGCGCACGCGGCTTGAGGAGCCTCCAGGGCGCTSAGGAGCCTCATCCGCTAATTCCCGAGGGCGCCTCCGCCAGCCAAGGGGCACCACAGAGCGGGCCGGGGCTCCTCGCGGCCCCTTGCCCCGCGCTCGCGGAGCGGGGCCGCGGCACGCTCGCGGAGCAACGAGGAACAAAGTCAAAACGCGCGGACGGGGCAGGGCCCGCGGGAAAGGAGCCGGGGGTGGGGGGGCAGGAGGGACCTAAGGAAGAGACAGGGGGAGGAAAAAAAAAAAAAAAAAAAAAAAAAGACAGTTACTCACAATCATCTAAGTCATCCTGCAAATCCACAAAATACAAAGGGATCCCTACAAACAGAAA